AGAAGAAAAATTATGGGATGGACCCACTGCCACTTTCATGGGAAACAGAGTCAAAATCTTGGGCTTAGATAACTTTTAAATGTTACAGTTTTGAGTTCTATTCCAAGTATCTTCATAAGCAACGGGTCCCTGTAGCGATTTATCTCAAAGACATGATAAGCAAGATAGAAGATGCAGAGACATTCTGTGAGTATTTGTTTTGGGGATATATTTCTCTCATGGTCTTCAGCAAGCTTGGTGGCACAGAAGAAGAGCATATTAGAAGGGAAGGAGTCAGAAAACCCCAGTTTGAGCCCAGCATAGTAAATGAGGAGGGGAGGAATGATTGAAGGAATGTGAGGGGAATGGGGATAAAAGAATTAAGGCACATATATACAGGTACAAATTCTCTTTGATGAATGTGACCATTATGTATGTGTCAAAAATATACCAATAAAATTAATTATAAAAGAGGGTTAATCATTATCCACACTTTTATTATCTTATCAAAAGCAAGGATAAGAGAAATTAGAAGCAGTAACATAGAACTTTACCAATAATTCACAAGAGGTTTGATCATTTTTTGCAATGGTCTATATACTTAAAAACATTGTTTCCATCTGATCAAGTTAGAAATATTTGGGGTTGGTGATTAAACCATTGTTAGCAATTTATCTGCAAATGTCAGCCCTAAGAGAGGAGATTCACATCTCTGTAACACTCAGCAGGGACTCCATATACTGACAGCTAGACATGCTTGGCCACCTTGCCCATTTCCTCTATTTCTGGGACCCCAGGACAGATCACTCAGGACTCTTTAAAAAATTTTGCATTAATATATGTTTGCAATAAATAATGATTACATTCACCAGAGCCTCCCATAAATTCTAATTGTGGTAGGGAGGTAGCATCTGGGTTGACCTCCCAGGCGAGCACCTGCTACCCAAACAGATGGAACATGGAGTGCTGGCCTGAGGCCAAGGTGCAGGACTGAAGACTGCAACCCTTGGTGCCCAACAGTGTCTGAGAGTCTGAGAGCTCATGGGAAGCTGGTGAGTGGCTGTGTCCCAATGACTCCATTTGCCAAGTACAAAATGGTCACTTAGTGGCACCTCAGGGTTGACACATTCTTTTTTTAGAAGATCAGAAAGGAACATCATTATATTTTGTATGTATATATGTATGTATGTATGTATGTATGTATGTATTTATGTATTTTGTGCAGGGTCTCATTATACAGCTCAAATTGGTAGTGATCCTCCTGTTTTTAGCCTCCTCAGCGCTGGGATTATAGGTGCGTGCCACCATGCTTCAACTCTGTTCCTCAGCCCAGCACACCTGGGGCCAGAGTGTATGTGGTGCCAGGGATTGAACCCCAGCCCCTATGCTTACCTAAGCAGATGCTTAGTCTGTTGAGCTGATTAACTGGCCTTAGGAGCATCACTTTAAAGACAGACTTTCAGCACATAATATGGGAGTGACGTGGGTCAATCTAATTATTTTCAGTTCTGCTTTGGCAGCAATCATGAAGGGAGTTTCAACTCATTTTGTGGCTTTAGAATTCTATTGGTACATTTTCAGCAAAGATCCACCCCTTCCAAGGTGACTGATAGACTGATAAAGGGTTACCAGGGCCAAGTTCCCTCCAGACTCATCCAGAGCTTTAGTGCTTTGCTGATGAATGAGGAGCAGGGTTTGTTCCCTTTGGAGATATTTGACAAAGAGGAAAGGTCAATATAAAGGGCAATAAGATGTATGAACCCCCAAAGTAGTGTTTTCAGACAAACCGATCATATCTTGACAGTCTATTGCTCCAGTCTCTGATTTGAAAGTGTACTCCAAGATGGATGGGAACAGGGAACAAGACAAAAGGCAACTGTATTAAACCTGAAATTTCCTCTTCTTTAGACAAATGATAAATCTGCTGAATCTGCAGCAAGGAGCAGATTGATTATATATAATATTGAGACAATTTTCCTCTTGAAATGCTAATGGTTTAGAGTCAGTCAACTGCCCTGTAGGACAAATTACAATCTTGTTTCAATATGGGTCAGTATGGTAGGAGTTATGTGTAGAGTAAAGATGAGAAAAATGAATTTAGTCAAAACTGGGAGTTGTTGAGAAATGGCAGGTGAAAGAGTTCTAGGATGATCCAATATTAACGTCATAGTCAACCAACAAAACCACCTCTTATTTCCTTTACAAACTCTCTTTTCATATTATTTTATTTCCTTATTAAGGCAACTCGCCATGCTGTAGAACCACAAAGAGAAGAGACAGAAATGACAAAGGTTAAAAGAAGAAGGCTGTGGAAACATGAAAGAAAGGACAGATGGGGCACCTGGCATGTGTTTGAAATTGGAGGACAGC